GCTAATTGGGCAGGTTTGGGGTTAAATCTGCAAAGATTGCTTGGGTTTGGTAAATCCTCTGCCACCACAAAGCAGATAATGCTAAACAAAAGATTGCCTTGATTGGATTAAAGTTGGCAAATTCATTGCCCTAATCATCATATTGCCCTTCCCGTGGCTATTCAGGAATACATCACCATGACTTACTTGAAGTAATTGAATATAATTGTCTTTTTAACTCGTATGTGTAAAACATCCATCTTTGTTAACAGCGTGTGTTGCTGTCCTGCTGCCAGCTAGCTGTCCTCTTCGGGAGGGGTGGGAACACGAAGCAGAGCCAGGCTGACGTTTATGAATTGGTAGTTGATTGCCTATAAAACCATTCATTATTTCTGACCAAGCACCTGGAAAAGAATAAAAAGAAACAGCACCAGCCACTGGAACACATAGGCTTGGCCGGTGCTCCCAGGCAGGGGAGAAGAGGGGAAGCCCTGAAGTGGGACGTTGTGAGGGGACGTCACCAAAACCAACCCTTCCCCTTGCCCTCAGTGGCAGCAAAACGCCGAGTACGTCATGGGGTTGGAAATGAGAGCGGCAGCGTGAAACAGGCGCCCGAGGCAGGGGCATTGCTGACCCTCCCGCAGTCCAAACAGGTTGAAATGCTTAAAAACAGGCCGATGGTTCCAGTGGGAGGGAGGAAGTTCATGGAAAATTTTCTCCCGTTAATAACCAGAGGTGTGAGGAAGGAGAAATTCTCTTCAGATGTCATTTTTATACCAACAGATAGCTAGGGAAGGAGGCCAGACAGCAAACACCCCATGTTTTCTTTTCCCCAGCTCTCCTGAGTGACAGGGAAAGACTTCTTTTGCACAGAAATTTCCTATATTACCTCAGCAATCAATCATTTAGAATTGCATAGTTACAAAATAAAACATAACTGGCTGGGGTTTTAAGAGATTCAGCATTTGACCTGTTATTCTTAACAGTTTTATCTTTATTAGTGAATTAAATTGGTCCAGGGAATGGGCCCAAGGATTAGGATGTGACTCTCCATATTATTAAAACACTGCCACGATGCCCAGCACAGTTTCAGCCCATGTCAACTCGCACTTTCCTGCAGATTGGGGGTTAGCCCAGCCCTGGACATGCCCGTTACAGGCAGAGTGGCCACCCTGTTTTGGGAGGCTGCAAAATTTCACCTGTAGGGATGCCAGCTGGGCTGTGTGGCTTGGCCCCAGGACCGCAGAGGAGTTGGATTTATTTGTATGGCGCAGATACGGGGGTGAGCACTGCAGGAAGCCCAGCCTAGGGGCTCAGGCTGGAAGAGATGTTTGTGTTGTCTGGTGTCAGATGTCTGTGCAGGGATAGTTGGTTTTGTGACCGTGCTTGGTGCACGATGATGTAAACTCCCCTTGCCCTGCTCCCTCTGGTCCTCACGGTGGCTGTGGCCGTAGCAGTGTCCCCGGTGAGGGGTGTGGCAGCTCTAGGTGCCTGCCAGCATTTTGGGCTGAGCGTGGTTTGGGGAGACCAGAGGCTGTATGGCGCTGCGTGGGGGCAGCGCCATATGGGGACGGAGTGTGACGGCTGAAGTCCGCTGCGTTCCTGACCTGGAAAAACACTGGCTGCCTCTTAAAATGAGGACTCCTTACAAGTGTCCTTATGTAAGAGATTGTCCCTACCCAGGATGGTTACAGGGTGAATCTTCCTCCTGCCAAAGCAAATCCTGAAGGATGCAAGTTTATTCTCTCCCTGAGCTGCTTTTGGGGGAGGAGGGGAAGGGAGCAGAAGCGGGGAAGGCGCTTAACAGTTACCCTACTGTGTCCTGACATTAGGCGAGCTGCAAAAATGCTCCCAGTGTATCAGGTAGTGCGCGGTGCCAGCCTTTCGCTGGAGCACGGAGAGCAAGTCTGCTGCAGAGCCTTAAATACTTTCCACCCCGACTACCTTAGCTTAACGCCTTTCAGCAGAGTTGGCAGGAGGGTTGTTTTTGTGTAGTCTCTCACCTCTCCCGGAAGCCCGGCTGACGCGCCTGTGCCGCGCTCTGCTCGGGGATTGTACGTTGCAATGGGAGTAGGAGCCGCAGATCCTCTTGCTGATATGCCGGGGAAGACATATACGGGGATTTCACGCAGGCTTTGCACGACGGATCCACAAGGAGCACAGCCTCGCCGGACGGAGTCAGCGTAGCTCTGTTGCAGCTGGAGTCACAGATGTGAAAGGCTGAACTTTAAGTCTTTCATAGAAAAGAGTTTGGCGTTTACTGGAGTTTGCTGAGCATCAGCGAGAGACTTGGTCCAAGCTTTGACACTTTGGTTTTGGATGGTGCTTCCCCACTCTACAGAGAGATGCTACCTGTCGCGGAGGCAAGTCACAGTGAAATACTGAGTGCAGACTGGGTTTTGAAATGCTCGCTTAGGAGGTTGGTTTTGTTTTGCTTTTAGTCTCCAGTTAGATAAGAAAGGCCAAGAAGCCAGAGAGGGAATGGGAAGACCTGTGACAATATTAAGTAATCTTTAATGAAGAACTTCTGACTGTTTGTAAAGGCAGAGCAAGACCAGCCTTTTATCTTTAAGCCGAATGCTGGTACCAATCTAGAAAGCGGCATCGTTACAGATGCGATGAGCCCTATCAGAGGGCGATTGTACAATATTGTTATCGAGGCTCTGCTAATTGTATTTCTTTAGCTTCTGTAATTTTAGCAGGAGAGGCCCAGGTGGTCAGGCAGCGTTGTCGGGGGTGGCGTGGAGAAATAACCTGATGAATTTTCCATCAGTTCGACTCACTCAAATATTCTCACCGTTAACTTTTGGGGTCAATAATAAATATTAAAACCTGTAGATTTAATAAGTCAATGTAGGTGTTCTCTGCCTTTTGAGACCACTTTATCTTTCCATCAAAGATGAAACAAGCTTCTCAAATGAATAAAAAATAGGGCCTCAAGTGATTACAAGTGAGAGCAATTTGGGCTTCTCTCTCAGAACCTGGCAGTAGGCACTTTTGAGTCTCTTCTGACTGCCTAGATGATCTGCATTAGCACTGCTCTCGCTGTTACATTTTTAGATAAATATTTCCAACTTGTGTGTACAGACCTTCAGGAAAGGTGTTTGCTGCCACTCCAGGCATGAGGGACGACGCAGGTCTGGATCCCGCCAGGCTCTGTTGAGTCTGATTTGCGTTGCAAGTCTAGTTTTCCTTGGTGCTTCCTATAATCTCCTCAAGTTCAAAGAGCGCTTAGCTGCTTGTCTTTGTCAAAAACCCTGTTGGAGATCTTTTATGTCGAAGATGTAGGATTTCTCCGCATGACTTTGATTATTTATTCATTCCACTTCTCTGGTGTATGATAGCGCTGATATCATGAAGACCCCTTGTCTTGCACTGCTCTTGCTCTGAAATTCATGGAGATTTAGTGCCTTTGAAATTGTTTTAAAAGGAAAGGAAAAGTTTTTGAAGTCCCATTTTTTTTTTCTTCTTCTATTCCCCTCAACAGTGCCGCAGCACATTTTTCCAGCCTTCCATGCTCCTTTGCCAATTGACATGCGCCACCAGGAAGGACGATACCATTATGAACCTCACTCTATCCACGCTATCCACGGGTAAGTCTTGCACCTCCGCTCCCGTGCCTTGCTAAAATGTTGGCTGCCCACTGTACGCCGAATCCCACTGCTAAGGTCTCAGGGACTTGCTGCTCTCCTGGCAGGCTGGCCCCGCTGGTCACTCCTTGTCCCGCTGTCCCCATCCGGTGGCAATACTGACCTGCCTGGCAAGAGTGCTCTACAGCTCCGTTAAACCTATAGAAGTGCCGTGTAGCTGCGGGATGGGAGTGCAGGGCTTCTGTGTTGTTATCCAGCTGAGGTCCTGGGGACAGGCTTGACTTACGTTTTTGCGGCCATGGTGTTTCTCATGTCACACTGTGCCTGGGTCGTTCCTGGCACTGTCTTGGTAAAGAACGAGCGCTGCTCCCTTTGATTGAAGACCTCGCGTACCGTTCCTTCCTGCCCGTCAGTTGGGGGTGCAGGGGGGGAAGGCTGCAGGTAAAACTGTAATTCACTTTGATTTCACCGGATGATGGCCTGGGCAGGCTGGATGGTGTTTTCTAAAATGTGGTAAAGAGGCAGGTCCTCACGTGGATGTCCATGTCCACTCTGGAGGGGCAGGACCGTGGGTTTCAGTGGTGACCTCCTTGTGAGAGTCACCCCTGCCCCAGGGCAGCTGATGGCCAGCGAGCACAGGCGCTAGTTGGGGGCTGTACCCTGAGGGGGGGGATCATGATTAATCTCCTTATCCAGGATATGACAGCTTAATAGTCCTTCATGCCTTGGAGGACATGTTTATAGAGAGATCTGGGTTCATCTCCTGTAAGCTTTGACCAGGGCAGGGAAAACGGAGCAAGCAGAGATGTGAGCAGACACTCTAGTGACTGTGTAGCCAGGAGGGTTTCTCCTCGTCCCTGAAATGCACCATCCCGGTGGGAGGTGAGGAGCAGCCTGATGGGGTTGGTGGTCCCACGGCCAGCCCCAAATCCCTCAAGCTGTGTCTGTAACACAGGGCTCAGCCATTAGCTGAGGGACAGGTCCCAGGGCACTCAGTGTAAGGGAACCCGTAATGGCTGGAAACATTTTTCAGGAAGAGGCAGGGACGAACAAACAGGGCTCATCACTTTAAAAACTCTCATTTGATCCCTCTGTTGACTCCGGAGCCCCGCTGTGGCCTCCTCGTCCGGCCAGGGTCAGCGCTCACCCAGCTTTGCAGGGGCTGTTTGTAGAGCTGTGCTTTTTCTGGATAGGTGCAAGTGGGGGGAACAGCCCCCGGCAGGCAAGTAGTGCAGACGGCGGCAGCCAGGAGATCTGTGGCATCCCACAGCTACCAGGGCTTTATTCCGCTTCCAAAATGCTGCAGGAAAAAATGATAGGTCATTCCCCTGGATCCTACCAGAAGGCAAGTAGTTGTCTCTTTGGCTGGCAGTCAGTTTTCCTGAATGTTTAAAGGGGCAGAAGCCCCTCCTTCCACTCTGTGCACAAAGGGGAAAAGAGAGAGCAGGTTGCTAACGCGGGAATTGGGGGGGCTGAGGAGGCTGAACGAAGTAGTTCTGGTCTTGCATGCAAGTACATGCAAAAATTGTAGAAAAAAGAAAGACAGATTAATAAAAAAAACATACTGGGAGATAGTTAATAAGCCGGAGCTCTGGCTAATAAAGCACAGACTGACTTCTGAAAGGGGCAATATTCAAAACAGTGATCAGAAGAGAGGATGGCAGATGCTCAGATGTTTGGCACCAGCTTATTTGTATGCCCAACTCGGTGCTCCCGTTTGCTCCTTGCAGATAGGATAGGGTGCATTGCCTCTGCAGCACCTCTTTCAGTGGGGTCATGGAGCAGGGTCTTCTCCAGAACGCGACCAAGAGGTCACCGGCAGGTGCCATGTACCTGTGAATCGTAACACTCGGTGATGGGAGACGGTATTTTTCATATTGGTGTTGTCCAACTGATCAAGCCTGACTAAGTGCACAGTGCTGGCAGATCAGGTTTCAGTTCATCTGCATCATTATTAATAATCCACTGTCTTAGCAGTGACCACAGTGTCCTGCTTTTAGTATTTGGGTAGAGTTGTTGGCAAATACCTATTGCCTTTCTTCTTTGGGATCCGTCACCTTCCCAACAGTACCTCTCACAAAAATGACTTGTGAGGTACTGGAGAGAAAACTTGGTTGTTGGTCTTAGAAGAAGAAAGAGTTTTCTTTGAAATGTTTGATAAGATCAGTCTTACTACCTGGGCATTGCGCTCAAGGTTGTCTCTGGGGCTGGTGAAGCACCAAAGCTGAGCAGCCAACTGCTTCTTGTCTGTGGGGTTTTTTTTAGGATCAAGGGAATGCCACTTCTGTTTGGCTCTTTCCCAAGTGCCCTGGTCTACTGCACAACCACACTGGGAAAATTCTCACTGGCTGTGGAGTTAGCCTCTCGACCATTTTTTCTCTTTGAATTTTATCTGCAAACATCTTAACCTCATCTCCTGCCGTTTCCTCCTCTGGTTTTCATTCTACTTCTCTTTTGTCTTCCTCTTCTCTCCTCGTCTGGTCTGGAGATCATAACATAGTGCTCATTCTCCTCGCTGGAGGATGTCCAATGTGAAATCCTCCAGAACAGGGTGGTGGAGCTGGGCTAGAGCATGCATAGAGGTTGTGCGTCTCTTGTTCAGTACGCTGGGTGGACTCTGCAGGCACAGTCAAGCCTCTAGAAATTTGAACTCCATCCTGGTGGTGCAGAAATCCATCCTTTTGTTTAAACACCACCAAAAAAAAAAAGGTATGTGCATATTTTCACTCTAGAAAATTATGGTAAATGTTTGGAAGAAAAATTATGTCACTGAGTTTTGGTTTTATGATTAATGTGGTCGGTGCCTGACAGAGAGCCCCCAATTCATCAAGCCCATATTCTAGCTGTCTGTTGTCTGGCCAGTACCAAATTTATCTAATTACATGAACATTGCACAGCAAATTAAGTGTAGTCTCATTTGTTGCTAACTATGGGGTCTTATTATCCGCCTGCTGCATTATGTCAAAGGTTGGTTTCCTGACTGCTCGATGTGACATGGCAGTGCATTCCCCTTCATCACTGTTTGCATTTGGCCTAATGAGAACATATGTTATTTTATCCTAACTGAAAGGAACTCATCTGCCAGGGTCTCTTGAGCAGGACTACTTGTGGGACCCTTTTCTTGAGAATATGGTTGGGAATATGGAAAACTCAAGTAATATAAGATCCACATGCCAAGACGGGGGCCTGAAAGATTTGCTGCATTTCTGCTCACTGTTGTCAGTCTTTCTCTCTCAGTCATTTCCTTGTTAAACAGTGTGAGAAATAATGTTCAGAGCTTGAGTCTTCTTCCAAATCACTGAGCGCTTACTGTATATGTCCAGAAGCAGGTCATGTTGGTCTTTCCTTGAAATACACTCCTAGAGATTTTTTTTTCAGGTTAAAATAGAATTTCTCCAGTCATCAGGACAAGTCAGGTCTCTGTACAACCTCTGCTGGTTTTATTCCTTTGGTGATATACTGCACTTTCCTTTTTTGACATCTTTTTTTGGCTTTAAGAACAATTTGGCAGAATCATGATGCTTGCTTGGCTAGTCTAGAAAAATAAAGTATCATTCAGATGATCCTTGAGCTCTCTGCAGTGCAAACCAACAGGAATACTGTGGATTCAAGGCATCGTCCTGGATTCTGGTGCTTGTGAGCTTGTGGTCATACAGAGGATGGGGGGAGAGGCAGGATTGGAGCCCAGAGGGAACTGAGAAAGTATGTAATGCAGAATGGAATAAAACTGAGCATGGGATGAAAGCTCTTCCAGGACCGTAGAGTTAGAGCAGAATGAATAAAGAAAATTGTATTGGTACATATAAATTTTATGAGGTACCACTTCCACAAAGCAGCCTTGTTTAATGTTAAGGTTGCAAAATACAGCACTCAAAAGCTAAGAAATGACAGAAAAATAGATTTGCAGATTCTGACTCATTTTGCATGCCATTGCGATAATGCATTAAATTACACAGCCACATACTGGTTTTCCCTGGGCTCCTTGCCTCTCCCACAGCACAGGATGGCCCAGGCTCTGGGGAAGAGCAATGGTGGGTGTTATATGCATTTTCTGCATGCAGCTTTTATCGATTTGTCAGAATTTCACTCTTTGCCGTTGACTGTAGGCAGAACACAGATCAGCATTACTGGAGCAAAAATCATCAGCCAGGGTGTTTCAGCAGGTTCAAAGCTGAACCAAATTCACTTCATAAGTTAGAGCAGGTCCTTTTCTAACACAGGAGATATTTCATATTTTGCTGAGCTTCTTCACAAAAGCTTACTCCACTGGGGCCCTGCAATAACTCCCTCCACTTTAAACCCAGGGAACTCTTAGCATCAGCTTTGCAAGCTGAAGCCCTTGACCACAGTGGAAAGCTGCTGGCAGAGACGGCAGGTGATTACCAATAGCTCCCTTCCACTCCCTGCTTTTAGGTGTGCTTAGCTACTCTAAACTTTTTTTTTTTTTTTAGGCACAACAAAAATAACTAAAAACTCCTTAGCTCAGCTTAAAAGTCCCTGCCAATGCAAGAGCCTCCAGGGCTAACCCTTGTAAACAGCATGCCTAGGCTTGACTCAGCAAGAAGCTTTTTAACAGTAGCTCCTAAACTGTGGTTAAAACCCATCAGGCATTACGCAGTGTAACAAACAAAAGCAGCCTTGTTTTTCCACCGACGTCCTGGTTGTGTTTCAGGATGCAGTTCTGGCATTATTTATTAACAAAATACAGTTGTTGTTCTTCTGTCCACCCACAAAAGCAGTAAAAAACACCCCTGAGCCGATAGTCACAAATTCTATGGCTTTCATGAGGACTGAGTTGTCCCAAAGGTCTAAACATAGAGATGACTCCATCTCCATGATAATGTGGAGTTGCCCTTAATTTTCCTCTGGTAGGGATTTTATCTGGCTTAATCATGGATCTTTCTCCATTTCCCTGAGATCTTAATATATTACAGATTTTCCCTGATATTCAGCCTACACTTTTTTTCTTTATCTGATCCTATTACCCCTCCTTGTTGAGGTTT